CTTTTTCTTGTTTTTTTAGATTATCATATTGTTTTTTATAAGCTTTTGATTGTTGTATGAGATTATAAGGTATAGCATTTCCATATTTTGATATTTGAGTTTTTTTTTCACGCTATTTTTTGTAAACAAATTCTGAATTTCTTTTAGCTTTTTGCCAGTTATCATAAAGAATTTGTTCTGATATTTTTTAAGTAAACAGTTTTAAAAAACAGTTTTTAAAAAAAAATAACTGAAGTATATTCCCATAACAAAAATAAAAGAAATCATGTTTAAATAATTTAAATAAAAATTATTCTTTTTATTTAACTATATAAATATATTTTAATATAAACAAAGGTTTAAATCGTTCAATAAAATTCATGAATATTAACTAAATATAGAAAATAAGATCAACTGATTTATTGATAATTAGAATATTCTTTGTTCTAAATTTAGATTAGATTTTATTTATTTATATATCTCTTATCATCTCCTTTTTTGTTTTTTAGATGATGCTAAAATTTTTCTGTGTAAACAGTTTTTGTAAGCAAAAATTTCTTAAAAAAAAATGAGTAATTTTTCCAGTGTAAAGAAGTATCAAGTTAAAAAGAATAATGAGGTATAAAAATTTCTTATACTAAGTATTGCATGTTAAGTATGTTCTTAGATATAAGTTACGCTGCTAGTTGAGTGAGATTTTATGTCTAGGCTCCTGATAAAATAATCACCTAGTGTAAATCTGAGAACTTTAGAGATTGGGTGAGGTTAGTGTTTCTACTAAAAGGCACGATGAAAATATGATGTACTTATAATATTTTTTTATTTAGCAAAAGAAAATTACTAAATTATGCCAAGAGTATAAAGAAGATATAATAAAATTATTAAATAATGAAGGGTTTACATGTCGAAGTTATGAAAATGAAGATGAATTATTCTACTCAGATCGTGATAAATATCTTGTTGCTGATTATGAAGACTTCAAAATATTTATTTGTTGTAAATTTAGAAATATAAAAAATATTAGATTTAATGATATCGAATGAGTAAATGGGTTTATTAAGGCATATCATCCTGAGGATAGTAGTATGATTGTAACTAACAAAAATTTTTCTGAAAATTCATATGAACAAGCTAAAAAAATGAAAATATTAATTTGTCAGTCTAAAAATATAGTTAAGAATATTAAAAAAGAGATCGAAAGAAAAAAACAAATATTAGTAAAAGATTCAAATAAACCAAAAGAATTAATTGTAGAAGTAATCGAAGAAATTATTGATAATAACATAAATGAATAGTTTTTTTTATTTTGTATATATTTTTATTTTACATAAATTCAATAAATTTAAATAAAAAATTATCTTTTGTTTAAAATATTATTAAATTCTGGATACTCATTAATAATTTTGTTACAAAGTTTAATTTTTTTTATTGAAATAAATTAAATAATTAGAATTAAAATAAATATTTAATTTTACGCCTGTATTTAAAATGTTAATTAATTTTATATAAGAACAATTATGATATTACGAATAATTTTAAAAAAAATTAAATATTCAAAATGATACCTATTGTGATAATTGGAATTTTAGTTACAGCTAATATCATCATGTTAGGTATTAAAATACGTCAAGATATAAAA